CTACGGTTACATGGAAATGTAACAATAATAAAATAATTATTGTTACATTGGAGACTAATTGCCGGAATACAGGGTTGGGTAAGGAGTCGATTAATTACGAATGTAACAATAATATATGTGTCTACGGTTACATTGCGTTATTGTTACGTCGTCATTTATTCAATGCACTTCAATGTACGATGGGACTAGAATTATGTATTAAAATAAAACTTGAAAAATTTTATTTGATATTAACAATACTGGATACAATTTTTAAAATTTTTGTTTAATTGACAGTTTCTGCAAATCCAGTATGTTGTTTTTATAGCATGTATTAGTCCGACGCATTTTTTGATGAAACCACTCAAAGCAGCCATTACACACCGGTGATGCGGCATTGTGCACGTCTGTATTGCATACTGTTCAATTCCATTCTGCATTTTTTCTAAGTTAAAAATTCTTGATATTGTTTAGTTTCGATTCAAACGCATCCCAAGTTTTAACCCAAAACAAATTTGGCAATAGGAATCGCTTCATCCATTTTTCAAAGTGTAATGACAGTAATATGTGTAGGTGTGCAGTTAAATACATAGAAGTGAACACTTTTCACAGTCCAAGTTCTTAACAACGAACCATTAAACTACATGTTTCGCCTTTGGCATTACTAAACTGTAGCAGTATCTTTAAGAACATCAACATGATCAAAACAATTAATACTTAAAAACTATTTAAACACATTATTTGTTGAATATAAATAATATTATTATGATCATTATCATTATTACAAATATTATCTAGTACATATCACAACTATAGAAGGTTAAAGTTTAATAAATCTAGCGTACATGGCATTCTTTGATGTAACAATAACGCAATGTAACCGTAGACACAAATATTATTGTTACATTTGTAATTAATCGGTTCCTTACCCAACCCTGTGTTCCGGCAATTAGTCTCCAATGTAACAATAATTATTTTATTATTGTTACATTTCAATGTAACCGTAGCCAGTGCCATTTATATATTAAAAATTCTCCGATTTTCTTAACGTGTATGATACTTTCAGTATATACTAATATTCATGATCTTTTATTTTGACATAGTTCAGTGATATACCTCGCACTATCTTGTACAATGAAACTAAGTTTCAAGTGGTAAAGTTGAAGTCATCCCTTAAAAGTTTTATGGTTACCATCACGTTACCTGTGTCACAGATGAACACGGATATATGTTCCAAGCATTGTAACCACCATCCCGACCGTCCTCTATTAATCGATTGTGACATCATCCGTTGATATATATGTACTTATCATGAGCAACACAACGGGTGCAACTACAGTGGAGCAGGATCTATTTACCCTTCAGGAGCTTCTGATATTACATCTAATTTTGTTTAACATGAGTTCTTGTTGATCTTGACTTAGTTTTCAATGGTGTGATTTGTGCTTGTAAACGTCTGTGTTGTTTATTCCGATAAGTCTTAGCTATACTGTTGTTTATAGAAAAACTGTTTCAACTTTAAAAAAAAATCATATCGGGTAAGTTAAAAGAATTAAAAAATTCTAATGACATATGGTTTAAGGATTTGGTGATGTGCATAGGTACTTGGGGACAGGACATTTTTTCTTGTCCTCTCCCTTTTTTTCCAAAATCCGTTATTTTATTTTTTTTTTCTATTAATTTCAATTATTTTCGCGTTTTTTCTGTATTATACGAACATATCAATTCCAAGTTTACTATCCACAGCGGTCACTGATATATTATGATATATATATATATATATATATATATATATATATATATATATAAAGTGCCTAGAAATCATAAGAAATCCGATGGACAAGGTATAATTTACAGTTGTCACTACACATAGGCAGATATACATATATATTAATTTACAGTGATTGTATGCTTCTAAAAATAGAACAGCATCCTGTAATTATACTAAAGAGATGAGTAGATGATCATTTCTGTACACTTAAAATACTTTGTGTATTGCGTCTAGATGTCCTTGTTTAATTCCTACGAGAAGGTAACACCTCCCGAAACGAAAGCTGATTTTTTATCAGCTATAGTTAGAGGGGATAAGGCGTCTGCGCAATGCTAGGCGGTGTTGCCGTAGAAGTATGAAGTGAAAAGTACAGGTTCCAGCCCCGCTTGGGGAGGAAGTAAAGAATCAAATCTACTCTAACATTGTTAGGTTGATTTTCTAGGCACTTTATATATATATATATATATATATATATATTATTAATTCGTATATTTTAACTAATTTGATTCGTTCAGGGATAGTCACATGTTAAACTATATTTTCGAAGGTAGAGAGAAAACGGCGGATAGCAAAAAGCATATTGCACGGCAAAAAGCATATTGCACGGTTATTTTTAGAATATCTAAAAACCGATATACTTTGTGACGTCATGTTATGAATTTCATGATATTGTTAAAAGTTTTATAAAAAAAATATCTATGATCGATTATTTGAAGAAAAAAATCTTCAAATACATAACATGTAAAAAAAAAACATCCAAAAAGTAAATGAAATAACAACTAATCTGTTGTTATTGTCTTGAAGACAATATGATATCTATAGAATTACAACAAAATCAAATGACGATTTTGATACAAATATGGTCGGAAATTAATAATATAACAATTATAGCCTATTTATGAGGTCAATACAGGATATATCGACCCAAAGAAGTATATCGACCTCGGACTTCGTCCTCAGTCAATATACTTCTTTCAGGTCAATATATCCTTGTATCGACCTCCTACAAAGGCTATAATTGTATAATATATATTATACAAATATAGCCTTTGTATGAGGTCGATACAAGGATATATTGACATATTATACAATTATAGCCTTTGTAGGAGGTCGATACAAGGATATATTGACCTGAAAGATTATACAAATATAGCCTTTGTATGAGGTCGATACAAGGATATATTGACCTGAAAGAAGTATATTGACTGAGGACGAAGTCCGAGGTCGATATACTTCTTTGGGTCGATATATCCTGTATTGACCTCATACAAAGGCTATATTTGTTATATTATTAATTTTCGACCATATTTGTATCAAAATCGTCATTTGATTTTGTTGGAATTTTATAGATATTATATTGTCTCCTTGACAATAACAACATATTAGTTGTTATTTCATTTTTTTTTTTTTTTGTTTGACATCTTATGTATTTGAAAAAATTTTTTGTCAAATAATCGATCACAGATGTCATTTGTTTCAAAACGTTGAACAATATCCTGAAATTCATTACATGACGTCACAAAGTATATAGGTTTTTAGATATTCTAAAAATAACCGTGCAATATGCATTTTGCTGTGCAATATGCTTTTTGCTATCCGCCGTTTTCTCTCTACCTTCGAAAATATAGTTTAACATGTGACTATCCCTGAACGAATCAAATTTGTTAAAATATACGAATTAATAATATATATATATATAAACTTGAATAGAGAGTAAATAGCAAATTCAAGTTATTTGCAGTATATTTATGTTCGGATATTACCCAAGGATAAAAAAATATTTCTGGCCGTTCACAAATGAGCATTTACCAACTCTTATGTGCCTAGGCAATTATATTATTAAGTGTTTAGAAATAAGATCCAGGTGGATACAAAATATATAGAATAATATTTAATTATTATGAAATTATTGTTCTAGTTATGTAAGACACATGATGTGTTAGGCTCTGATCCTATCCACAATATGATAGTATTATATTAGGATCTAGTTTCTCTTTTTTCCAATCATATTGTGCTTAATATTGTTGTAAATGATGCCATTTATGGGTTCTTGATTAGATTAATAAAATTCTTCTAAAATTCTTCTGTTCGTTTGATACAAAAAAAAAACTCGAAAATAATTGAAAAAAACAATAATGGATTTTGGAAAAAAGGGGAAGGGCTAAAAAAAATTGTTCTGTCCCAAGTACCTATGATGATGTATTAAGGTTAGATAAGAATCGATTATCATTCGCTAATGCATTTTATAGGAGGTACACGACGGGTGTCACTAGTGGCGCGAGTCTGCTTACATGTACCCTTCCAAAGCACCTGATATCACCCCCTGTTTTAAGGGAGCCGGGGGGTCGTGTTGTTCAATCTTTAGGTTCCAATGAAGTGTTTTGTGAACTTGCTTATTTGTTCGTTGTCTTTCATTTTGCGTTTTTGCAATGACGTTGTTAGTTTCTCTCGACTTCTATATGAATTTTGAATGTCCCATTGATATCTTCCGCCTCTATTTAAGCAAGCGGCATAATGATAAGACTGGCTCAGAGTCAGAATAATTAACCTGGGATGATGACATGTTTTCTTGCGTACCTTATGAATTATCATGTTTAAAATTTAAAACAGCGTGTCGAACTAGGACTCTTTGTGGAAAGAAAATTTCATTTCCACCCGTTGCTATTCGAGCTTAAAATTCATTAATTTTTGTACATTATCATTTGTTTAGCAAATATTCATTTTCATCCTATATTAGGCAAGTTTATTTTTTAAGTTCTTAACAGGCCAAAATATTCGGTCTTTCATTTGATCAATCCTGACACCCTCGGTGTGTTATAGTCATACGATATCATGGACAAGAAAAACCTAAAAATATGCATTATCTATAATGTAATCTAAGGGAAAACATCTACGAACTTTAAATCCATTGAGTAATTTATGTTTTCTGTGATAACGTCAAGTGACGGGTTGTTTAAAGCTATTTCACCGACATATTTAAATGTGTTTTATTTTGCCATATATAAGGGGCTACCGGGATAATTTACAGGGTAAACAATAAAGAATGAAGAAAACTATAACAAAAAAATCATCAATAGAGAATAATTGGGTGCTAAAATGCGAAGAATTGAGAATAATTGGAGAAAATGATAAAGAAATTTTTAAAAAATGACATAACAAGTTAAAGGACACAGAAATTAAGACTGTGCAACCCAGACCCTCACATATCTATATATATATGACAGTCAAATGACAACGACCTTGGATTTTACACACTAACTACATGTTCTTATTTCTACCCGACACTTAGTTACAGTAATAGGAAGTAAAATAGTCAGACATATTGGATTTTATACCAGAATGGCGTTTTCTCAATCTTTTAAACGAGGACAGGCTCCTGCTACGTGTAATTTTTGTGAAGAAGAAACCAAAATAAAATGGAAATGCATAAACTGTGACGTTTTAATGTGCTCTAAATGCAAGGACAAAATTCATGCTAAATTAAAAAACAATAAAGACCACAATGTTATAGATATCAAAGAAGTTGGAATTTATCGTGGTGAACTGGATTTTAGCGACTTGAAGTGTAAAAAACATAGCGGACAATGTTGTGTTATGTTTTGCGCGTCGTGCGATACGTTAGTCTGCGCATTGTGTATTGGAAATACGCACAATGGCCATGTTTTGGTTGAAATTAGTAAAGGTTTTGATATCCGAAAGGAAAAATTTAAATCCGATCAAAAGAAAATAAAAGACAAAATAGGAAACTTGATGGAAAAAAAAAACGCAATGACGAATGTGAACATGAAGGACAGTGCAAAATACACGGATTTAATAAAGAGAATAGAAGCTCAAAATATCGAGGTAAAGAATGCAGCTGACAAATATACAGAACAATTAAAATCTGAATTAGATAAAAAATGGAGAGATTTACAGACGGATGAAATTGACAAATTAGAGAAAGTTATTGTTAACTTACAGGGACTTCTAAGTTCAAATGTGGAAGATATCGTCCTGTCCAATGATGTGGAAAAATTATTCATTGACAGTTCAAAACTGTCCTGTGCCTTGAATGTAGCTGAAACCAATCTCGGCACCCTATCATTTCTCCCAGGACAAGTATCACCGTATATCATGGGATCGTTGCAAGTTGTATCTAATACCGTCGACGTACGTATCGTTAAACAATTCAAAACTGATATTTCTGGAGTGTTTTATCTATCGTTATGTCCCGATAATTCTCTGTGGATAAGTGATAATTATGTGTTACAGAAAGTAAAACCAGTAGAACATAAACTGACAGTAGAATCAACATTTAACATTAAAGTCTATGGAATGGCTTTTACTTCGACTGGTGACCTGCTTCTGTCATCAGATGGATTAGTACTTAAACAAATCAGTGGTAAAACAGGAGAACTTACTGATTCTATTTACAATGTGTCTCCGTTACTTTATTCTGCCGTACATGTGACCAAAGATGGTAAGGTCATAGTGGGAGTCCAGAGTACCGGTAAAGTATGCCCCCCTACGAGCAGACGAGCTATCATTGTGATGAACCAGAAAGGAGAACATGAAACTATCTATGAACATGACAAAAACAACATCCGGATATTTACATATGTTAGGAGAATAACCAGTACAGATAACGGGAATATCTGTGTAGTGGATAGGTTATCTGAGGATAACAGAGGTAGAGTTGTGGTACTAAATAGAGACGGAGATATCCTACAGATCTACACCGGTCATCATGGGGTCAATAATGAGAACAAGCCGTTCAAACCAGTGAACATTGTTACTACACCGTCTGACAATATTATTGTGACACAATTAAACAGTTATATCTTTCACATACTGAATAAATGTGGACATTTCATCACACATTATAAAATGGGTGACATAGGAATAGCAAAGCCATATTCCCTTTGCTTTACAAGAACCGCGGGACAATTGTATATCGGATGTAACGAAGCAGTAGGAAGTTCAGAGAAAGCAAAGTTATATGAAGTGCACATTTCTGGTTGTTAGAAAAACGATGAAAGAACAAATATTTAATTTGTTTATATTTTCTTCGACTTTATTTTTTTCGTTTTAATTTAAATAAATCATACTTCATTTTCTGAACATTTTCTGTTTTTTCAAAAAAGTGTCAGAGTGTTCTTGAAAATCAAGATCTCTATACTACCTACCTACCACCCAATCAAACCAATTGACCAACAAATTGATACGAGGAACTTCTCACTTGTTGTGCATATATTTATCAACCAACCAACCAACCAATAATCATGTAAACTATGCAATTCATTTTTAAGTCAATAAACCATGACAGGAGTTGTAGCCAAATTATCTTTATGGAAATGAGATGGGGCAATGCTAAGACAACTGCATATCAAATATCATTGACCTACCACTAGTGGTCTCCTAAAAATGACTTAATCACACAAACTAATAAATAGCTGACGCCACCACCACCGTAAACAGCACGCCGTATAGTCTCGCCTTTTCGACTTCGTCGAGGCCAGTCAAAATTCGTTTAAGCTCAAATGATCACAATTACAAGTAATTGGTGGAATTGTGTTCAAGATGAGAAAAAACAACGTGGCGAAAATAATTAACGGTTGATATTAGGCGTAAACGATATGATGATTGATTGATGTCCAGTGAAATGTGATGGGGGAAGTTGTAGGTGTAAAATCTAGGTCGTCAAGGGTTACATAAAACCATGGCCAATAGAAAAAGAAGATGAAAAGAAAAACGGCATTACATAAAGCAAAGAATATTGAGTGAATTATAAATTAAACACCAAAAATTGGTTGAGAATTGGCATAATGTCAAGTTTTACAAATTCTTGGCTTTATATTGATAAAAAAAAACAATTAGAAAAACACACGTATCCCGGCGCTATATACTAAAGTGTCTAGTCCAGCGCTGTAGATGTAAACTCAAGCGTTGTAGATATAAAGTCAAGCGCTGGAGATGTAAAGGACAGCGCTAATATGCAAAAAACAGCACTATAGTGAGATGTAAAGTCCAGCGTTGTAGATCTTATGTTCACTAGCTGTAGATGTAGAGTCCTGCGCTGTAGCTGGAATGTCTAGCACTGTGTATATGAAGTCAATCGCTTGAGATGCAAAGTCAGGCGCTGGATATCTACAATAAAGCATTGGAGATCTAACGTACAGCACTGCAGAATTAAAGTCTATTACTGGATAAGTAAAGTCCCACGCTGTAGATATAGAGTCGTCAACCGCTGCATATTTAAATTCCAGTGCTGGAGATGCAAAGTCCACCGCTGTAGATATAAAACCCAGTGCTGTTGATGTAAACTTTAGCGCTGTAGATGCAAAGTCCAGTGCTGTAGATGCCAAGTCCATTGCTGTAGATGTAAAGTCTAGCGTTGTGTAGAAGTGAAGTAAAGCGCCGAAGATTTAAAGAACAGCGCTGAAGATGTAAAGTCTAGCGCTTTAGATATAAAGTAAAGCGCCGAACAATTAAAGTCAAGTGCTAAAAATGCAAAATCTAGCGATGTAGATGAAAAGTTCAGTGCTGTATATCTAAATCACAGGGCTGGAGATGCAAAGGGCCATCGCTGTATATCTAAAATCCAGCGATGAAGATGTAAAGCGTTTATGATGTAGTCCAGTGCTGGAGACGTAATAGCAGCGCTAGAGACATAAAGTCCAGCGCTGAAGACGTAAGTCCAGTGCTGTAGATCTATAGTTAGCGCTGGCGATGCAAAGTTTACCGCTGTATATGTCAAGTCCATCACTGGAGATGTCAAGTCCAGTGCTCTAGATGTAAAGTCTAGCGCTGTAGATATGAAGTAAAGCGCCAAAGATTTAATGTCAAGGTTCGGAGATGCAAAGACCAGCGATGGAGATACAAAGTCTACCGCTGGAGATGTCAAGGCCAACGCTGAAGATGTAGTCCAGCGCTGTAAACATGTATATAAAGTCACGCTCTGTAGATCTTAAATCTAGCGCTGTAGATGTAAAATTTACCGCTGAAGACGTAGTGCAGCGGTGGAGACGTTAAGTCCAGCGCTAAATATGTAAAGTTTAGCGCTGCAGATGTAAAGTCTATTGCTGTAGATTTTTTATTCCAGCGCTATAGATATAAATTAAAGCGTCCATGATTTAAAGTCAAGTGCTGGAGAGGCAAAGCCCAGTGCTAGAGTTGCAAATTCCAGCGCTGCAGATCTAAAGTCCAGTGCCAGGGATTCACTACACTATTGACAAATATGAATGGTCACAGAGACTAGCACTAAACTACACTACTGACAAGTATGAACGGTCACTAAGGACAATGATTGACTACACTACTGACAAGAATGAAGGATCACTAAGGACAGTGATTGACTACACTACTGACAAGTATGTACGATCACCAAGGCCTGAACTGGACTTCACTACTGACAAGTAAGAACAATTACCAAGGCCAGGACTGGACTACACTACTGACAAGAAGGAACGATCACCAAGGCCTGGATTGGACTACACTACTAACATGAGAGAACAATCACCAAGGCTAGGACTGGACTACACTACTAACAAGCAAGAACGGTCACTGAGAGCAGGACTGAACTACACTTCTAACAAGTAAGAACGATCACTGAGGTCAGGGTTGGATTACACTATTGACAAGTAAGAAGGGTAACTGAGTCCAGACTGGACTACACTACTAACAAGTAAAAACGGTCTCTGATGCCAGAACTTTACTTCACTACTGACACTACTGACAAGTAAGAACGGTTCTGATGCCAAGACTGGACTACACAACTGGGAAGTATGAACGGTCACTGAGGCCAAGGCTGGACTACACAACTGAGAAGTAAGAACGGTCACTGAGGCCAGGACTGGACTACACTGAAGACAAGTATGAATGGTCACTGATGCCAAGACTGGATTACACTATTGACAAGTAAGAACGGCATCTGATGTCAGGACTGGACTACACTACTAACAATTAAGAACGGTCACTGAATGCCAGGGATTTACTACACTATTGACAAATATTTTCAAGCTGGGCTACACAACTGAGAAGTAAGAACGATTACTGAGGCAAAGGCTGGACTACACTACTGAGAAGTATAAACAGTCACTGAGGCCAAGACTGGACTACACTACTGACAAGTAAGAACGGTCACTGAGGTTAGGACTGGACTACACTACTGACAAGCAAGTAAGAATGGTCACTGAGGCCATTACTGGACTACGCTACTGAGAAGTAAGAACGGTCACTGAGGCCTTGACTGGACTACACTACTGACAAGTATGAATGGTCACTGATGCCAAGGCTGGACTACACTACTGACAAGTTAGAACGGTCACTGAATGCCAGGGATTTACTACACTATTGACAAATATGAATGATCACAGAGACTAACATTGAACTATACTATTGACAAGTAAGAACGGTTACTGACACCAAGGCTCGACTACACTACTGAGACGTATGACTGGTCACTGAGGTCAGGGCTGGACTACACTACTGACAAGTAAGAACGGTCACTGAGGCCACGACTGGACTATACTATTAACAAGTAAGAACGTTTACTGTGGCCAAGGCTGTACTTCACTACTTACAAGTATGAACAGTCACTGAGGCCAGGACTGGACAACACAACTGAGAAGTATGAACGGTCACTGAGGCCAAGGCTGGGCTACACAACAGAGAAGTATGAACGGTCACTGAGGCCAAGGCTGGGCTACACAACTGAGAAGTAAGAACGGTCACTGTGGCCAAGGATCGACTACACTACTGAGAAGTATGAAGGTCACTGAGGCCAATACTGGACTACCCTTCTGACAAGTAAGAACGGGCACTGATACAAAGGCTGGACTACACAACTGAGAAGTATGAACGGTCACTGAGGCGAAGGCTGGACTACACAACTGAGAAGTAAGAACGATCACTGAGGCCAAGACGGACTACACTACTGACAAGTATGAACTGAGGCCAAGAAATGACTACACTACTGACAAGCAAGTAAGAATGGTCACTGCAGCCAGTACTGGACTACACTACTGAGAAGTAAGAACGGTCACTGAGGCCTTGACTGGACTACACTACTGACAAGTATGAATGGTCACTGATGCCAAGGCTGGACTACACTACTGACAAGTAAGAACGGCCACTGATGTCAGGACTGGACTACACTACTTACAATTAAGAACGGTCACCGAATGCCAGGGATTCACTAAACTATTGACAAATATGAATGGTCACAGAGACTAGCACTGGACTACACTACTGACAAGTAAGAACGGTTACTGACACCAAGGCTAGACTTCACAACTGAGATGTATGAACGGTCACTGGGGCCAGGACTGGACTACACTACTGACAAGTGAGAAATTCACTGAGGCCAAGGCTGTAGTACACTACTTTCAAGTATGAACAGTCATTGAGGCCAGGACTGGACTACACTACTGACAAGTATGAACGGTTACTAAGGACAATGATTGACTACATTACTGACAAGAATGAACGATCACCAAGGCCAGGACTGGACTGCACTACTGATAAGTATGAACGGTCACTAAGGACAGTGATTGACTGCACTACTGACAAGAATGAAGGACCGCTAAGGACAGTGATTGACTACACTACTGACAAGTATGCACGATCACCAAGGCCTGAACTGGACTTCACTACTGACAAGTAAGAACAATTACCAAGGCCAGGACTGGACTACACTACTGACAAGAATGAACGATCACCAAGGCCTGGATTGGACTACACTACTGACAAGAAAGAACAATCACCAAGGCCAAGACTGGACTACACTTCTAACAAGCAAGAACGGTCACTGAGAGCAGGACTGGACTACACTACTAACAAGTAAAAACGGTCTCTGATGCCAGAACTTTACTTCACTACTGACACTACTGACAAGTAAGAACGGTTCTGATGCCATGACTGGACTACACAACTGAGAAGTATGAACGGTCACTGATGCCAAGGCTGGACTACACAACTGAGAAGTAAGAACGGTCACTGAGGCCAGGACTGGACTACACTGAAGACAAGTATGAATGGTCACTGATGCCAAGGCTGGACTGCACTACTGACAAGTAAGAACGGCATCTAGTGTCAGGACTGGACTACACTACTTAC